ATAAACTAAAAGCATCATCAAATCGAAACAAACAAAAAAGTTATTCTAAGGTAAAAATGAATTAGGATCATTGGTGTTACCCTGAAAAGAAGAAATAAAATGAAAAAATACAAAATTTTGCTCATAAAATATGTAAAAATTGCATTGTTCCAACTATAGAATGCTTATTCAAATTATTCTGCACTCGTAACATAAAAGCAACACTTAGCATGTAGGCAACGACATCCATCGAGTGTTGAATGAGTGCCTGGATCCAACTTGAGAGACATGGTGGATGGATCAGTTTATACATAACTGTTAGTCAAGAGGGTTTCATCATAAATTATAAACGAGAAGCTCCACCAATTCTCATGCTTTGAATCTGAGACATCCATTCAGGATCCAACGGATGTCATTGAGTTTTTCTATTTTTGCACACTAGGTGCTGCTTTTACACTAGTCATTCCCCCACACACCAGCGCGCACACACACCAACAAACTCCAGTGCGCACACACACACAGACACACGCGTGCGCCAATACACAATTCGGCGCAAAAATATGTACACCACCATGCGCAAAGGCACAAGCAGAAAAAGGGAAGAAAAATAGACTTAATACAAGTAAAGAAAAAGTGACTTACACAAAGAATAATCAGTCCATTTACATATAGTCCATGTGCAACAGAAATTGGTGAAAACCGAAACCGGATGGAAATTAATTCGATGGAACAAAAAACAATGGGTGAAGATTTGACTTACACCGGAAAAAAAAATCATGCGACTTCCATATAACCCGCGTAAAGAAAAGTACAACCTTATCAAAGAAAACAATGGGATGAAGGAGACGGTTGCTCAACGTTCTTCTCTTTTCACTGCTCAACGTTTTGAGTGTGCAGATCTAGTCTAGTGTTGTAAGATTTTGTGTATGACGGGGGGCCATGGCGGCAGAGACAGTGGTGTAGGAAACAAGTTTTCTAACTTCATCCTCATATATTCGGTGTTGTCTTGTGCTGTTTTGCTTTGATGTTTCTAATTCTCTAGACTGGGCAAGATGTTCTTTAAATCCTTCGGGCTTGACACTTTAGCTATTCTCGACGATGGGCAACATTCAAAGCAAAAATATGCTAGTTCCGTACTAGGCATGCTACTTTCTGAAAGCTAGAAGATAACTCGTGTGTTGGCAGAAATATAAATAATGGGGATCAACTATTTACATCTATAGGGTTGGTATTGTATTAGGGTCATTTACTTCAACACATGAAGGGTATTCGGTGGACGTCGTGGACCTGATTGTAGTGAGCCTTGATATTGAAACCTTCAAAGTGGTAACTTTTAGATTCAGAAAAACCCTAGAATAAAAAAAGGCCAATCTTGGGCCAAATTTGTGTTTTGAGAAAATAAGGGCCTTATTTTTACTCTTACCGGATTGTGGTAAAGTATTATAATTCAATAAGAGTTTCGCAGGCAAACATATACTCTTACATTTCTTACTCTTTAATTTATAAACTTACCAAATAAGACCCCTTTTTTGTTCCCTCTTCCCACACCCAATGAGGAAGATGTTGTTCAACATGTTCTACTCGATAATTGTAGGAGAAGAACCCAACTCGGTATCCTCTATCCTATATAACTAAGTAGTTGATCGCCACTAACATATGTATCTCAACATGCAACTATGACACCTCAACATGCAACCGTGCATGAAAAAAGGATTGAATATTTTAGTTACATAGTTATACAAGAATCGTATATATTGTTAGGTCCCATGGTATTAATCCAAATATCCATGTTTATAAAACTAAGTCTCGTTGAAATATATTGCAAAAGAATTCGCAGCAACGTGTGGGGTATCATCTAGTAGTTCTTTAAAAACAGGAGAAGCAGAACCAGGTCAATATAATATGGACCATCCTTTCTTCTTGAGCCAAAGATAGGAGCTAGGGCAAATTTCTTTTTTATTTTCATTTAAGACATTTCCATGAATTCTACCGATTGATGCCCCCAAGGCGTTGGAGATGCCTTGTCATCGTGTTGTCAAAAATGGCGGATTTTTGCTAAGATCCTCAACCCCAACATCCATGACAAACTATTGAAAGGGTCTCGATGATGGAGTGCAATAAATTTCCTCCTCTCTGCTGGGCAGAGAAATTTTGACGAAATAAGTTATGTCAGAAGATTTTATAAAGAAGGTCAAATTTGTCAATCGATTTCATTCTCTTGGTAATAGTTGTCTAAATACATGAATGGGGATTGATTTCTCAAGAAAATACAATTACCCTCCCCCCTCTCTCCATCATCATCATCATAACATCATTTTAAAAATTCGTACTTCAGTTCACTACCATAATAATCTTGAATACAAAAATTAGTATCACGAAAGTCAAATGTCTTTTTTTCACAAAGTCAAATATCTAAATACATGGTATCATAGCAGACTTCATTGTGTGCGAGAGGCCATGGCGGCCACTAGCCCAAGGATCATGGAAGTGCATGACCGGTGCTTTCAGGATGAAAAATTCACTACTTAGACAAATTGTCTTCATCGTATGGATCTTGTTACATGGAAAAAATCATAGAAAGAATATTTATACAGTAAATTTTGTGTGTGTATGCATCTTGATATATTTTTTACAATAACCAGACAATCGATCTCTAATGTTTTTATTTTTTTGGTTTTATGTTATGCATAGACGCCCCGCACAATTGGGTAGTCACAGTGTCAAATGGTGTTTGCATCATATCATCGGTCAAGCTAGTTGCACAATAACAACGAGGATTATGAAGCTCATGTTGTTGATGTTGTTGGCCTCGACCCGGTCACTGATGAGATGCTTTGTCTTTATAATATCTCTTATTCCATCTACTTTTATGGCACTGCAAATGGTGCCTAATTAAGTTGTTATGCATCCGGGGACAAGGCGCACCGGAGTCGACGGAGGTGTGGCCAGCCCCGGGGCCTCGCCCATCTCCAGACATGTGCCAGCGGCGAGACCCCAGTCGAAGTGGCGTACGAGGCAAGCTAGCGCAATCTCTAGCGTCGGCATCGCGAAGTTGATGGCGGGACAGAGTCGTCGACCGGCACCGAATGGGAGGAGTTGGTAGTCGTTTCCCCTCACGTCCACGTCTGTCGCGTTACCGTTGGCCAAGAACCTCTCAGGCAAAAACTCCTCCGCCCCTTCACCCCACGCAATGGGGTCCCTCCCGATTGCCCACGCATTGATAAAGAGTGTCGTCTTTGCCGGGATCTCGTAGCCTTGGACGATCGACGTCGTCGTCGACTCGTGTGGGATGAGGAGTGGTGCTGGTGGGTGGAGACGCATCACCTCCCTCAACACCGCCTTGAGGTACTCCATCCTGCTGAGGTCATCTTCTTCGATGGCCAACTTGTCGTTGGTGACTCGTGTTACCTCGGCCCGCAACTTGGCCATTGTGTGGGGTTTTGTCGTGAGCTCCGCCATGGCCCATTCCAGCGTAATATATGATGTCTCAGTTCCGGCGAAGATCATGTCCTACATATGCCCAAAAAAACACAAAGCAAAGGATAGAAAATAAATTAGTACGGAACTAAATGGTTTTCCTATATCTCAATTGAGTAGGAGTATTTCTGTTGTAGGTGTTATAAGAGAAATTATGGATTGCCTATTTGGTAATTGACTGTTTATAATTTGGTACTGGTTAGCGTTCTCCACTGTACAAACAATGACACATGACACTATAAAGCTGACTGATTTTCAGTTCTTTGTTAATTAAAAGTTTACACCGTACAAACAATGACATATGTCATTATAAAATAAAAATATATATTACATGATTTCAAAACCTCAGCTACACCCTTGTTTGCTATGATTTGCTTGTTTCGGAGCTTGTGGAGACAGGTGTAACGGACTGTTACTCGCTACAGATAAACATTTCACACAAAGAACATCCAATTTGCCTTGTTAACACCTTTAACCAGCAACTATTCAAATCAAAAGTGAGTTTATATTTACCACATTATTAAACCTACATTCTCTTAACACAAAATTACATGTAAGATATTTTTTTTTTGATTTGCTACTTTGAAAATATGAAAATATACATTGAAGTAACTAGCAACAAACAGAAGAGACAAAGAAGGCAAAAAGGAAGAAAATAAGGGAAAATAAACGAAACAAGTTCAATTCAACTACAAGCAAAACCCATGACCCACGGCTGCCTGTTACCCAAAATAAATAAATAATGAATTAGATACCAAAACCGCTTGAGTCAAAGTAACGAATACTCCCTCAATTCATAAATATAAGATGCTTTAATTTATTTTTAAAATGTATATTGGCACTTTTAGTATATTTATTCACCCATTTCAGTCCGCATGTATTCCATACAGACACATAGGGAGGCAGGTCCCATATTTGAAATATAAAAATAAGATCAGATAGCGCTCAAGAGGTTTTTCTTCATACGGGAAATCCTTCACTTGCAGGGAATTCAAATAGGTATATCCTAAAAGAAAATTACAAATGAATGAATGAAAGCTGACATGCAAATAAAGAGAATAATTGGATCGAGCGGAAGGCGTGATTTGCATTATTCAAATCATTCAAAATATGAAGAGTATATAGGAGAATAAAGAATTAACTAAAATTGAAAAGAAGATCATTTATACGAAAAGTATAGCAAGAAAATCATAGACAGAGCATGGACCCAAAATTAAAGATGAAATTCTGGGGCTTTCGATCGATCACCTGAACAATGCTTATGATGCGATCGTCGGTGAGGTCGAGTCCGGCGGTGCCTTCTTCCCTCAGCCGCAGCAAGACGTCCAAGAAGTCCTCCTCCCCTGCGATGTCGTCACACTTCTTCTCAAACACACAGCGAGCAAGGAGGTGCTCCACATTGTCTTCCTCTTGCAGACAGGTAAAACAAGGCGAGGGGAGCTCTTGAACAGACTGGTTCACCTGCTTGAACAGGCTGCAGTTGCCAACCACGGCTCCATCGACGAAGGACACGATTGTGGATTGGTGGCTACCGAAGCGCAGAAGCTTTCATGGCAAGGAGAAGCGAGGTTTCGATAGTCTGGTCATATGCACGGCGTGGGCGTTGTGGAAGCAAGGAAACGCCAGAGTCTTCAATAGAAGAGAGCAGCAAATGGCGGCTAAAGATCTAGCTGGCGTTATCTTAGAGGAGATTAGAGAGTGGAACTTAGCGGTTAGCGGAGTAGGAGGATTGCAACGTTTTGTGAGACATTAGCCTAGATAGCCGCGTGGAGTGGGTGCCCCACGATGATGTTCGCATTGTCGTGCGGGATCTTGTAAATCTTGATTCTCCTTCTTCTATAAAATTACGGTACGCAATTGCGTACTCTAAAAAAAACACTTCGAGGGTGTTTGTTTCCAGAGACTTATTGGCTTAGGGACTTAAAAAAATCCCTATAAGTCCCATCTAAACCAAACATGAGGGACTTATAGGGACTTAAACTGGGCATTTGGGACTTATGAAATAAGACTCTCAAGGAGGGACTTATAGTTACAATATGGTCTTATAGGGACTTATAAGTCTCAGGAACCAAACAGGTAGGGACTTTTTAGGGACTTGAGACTTATAAGTTGGGACTAAAAAAAGTCCTATGACTTATGAACCAACAGGGCCTTCTTCTCAAGGTGCTCGGCGATTATCTCGGACAGGAACTTGTGCCACGCCTCCATCTGGTCGTCGAGCCTCTTCTCGAACCCCGTCGCCCACCTCACCACCTTCGCCGCCGCGTCGGGAAGCACGTCCTCCGCCTGGAGCCCCGACATGAGCGCCGCGGAGTTGCCCATCAGCTGCTTCATTCTCTCGGCCGTGGCCCCCGCGGCGCCGGTGGCCGCGCGGGTGACCACCGCGTTGCCGTAGCCGTACAGGAGCCCCCTCAGCTCCACGGCCTCCCCGGCCTCCGCCGCGCGGCGGACTCCCGCGACGAGGGCGGCCGCCTCGGCGGCTCGCATGGGGGCGAACGAGTCGGCGCGGCGCTGGGAGAGCAGGTGGACGACGGCCATCTTCTTGCTGCGGCGCCAGACGTCGCCGTATGGCGCGAAGGAGACGTTGATCGAGCCGTAGGAGAGCTTGTGCACCGGCGCGCTGAGCACGCGGGAGGCGAATGCGAGGTCGTGGTTCTTGTACAGGTCCGCCGCCGCGGCCGCCGTGGACACCACCAGCGTCCGCCTGCGCCCGAGCTGCAGGAGCAGGAGGCCGCCGTCGCTGCCGTACCGAGCGTGCAGGTCGCGCAGGGAGCGGTGCGCGAGGCGGCCCAGGAGGTGGAGGTGGCCGAACAGCGGGATCGCCGGGGGCGATGGCGGGAGCTTACTGTTCTTGCCTCGAGCTTTCCTGGTCGCGCAGCAGAAGGCGACGAGCACGGCGACGGCCGCGACGAGCACAGCGTACGGAGACATCCTCCTTCTGCTCGACAACTGTGCTGGATACCACTGTACTTGAAAATCATTGCTCAATGGGGTATATATCGTGTAGCGTGTTGTGACATTTTGATTCGATTATTAGGTGCAGGTGTGGCGTTGTGACTTTATTTTCCCGCGAGAAAAGGCGACGTGACTTGTGAGGTCGAGGGGCAGTGACGGCAGTGTCATTGTCTTCGGATCATGTGTCAACTTTGATATCGTCCATGTGATCGTGATCGTGCCAAAAAAGCCGCCGCGTGCCGGCTAAGCTCGTGCTACAGTATGGTCTGACTATGAGCTCCGATGAAAAGTTGTGAAAGTCCTAAAAAAAGGCTCCAATCAGATCTCTCCTTTTTCTCCCGGATATTGATGGTTTTCGTTGGACCCGTTCATACCTGGCCAAACGGGCCGGCCCGCCATAAACGCGCCTGGCAACCGGGCCGTGCCATGCCAGCCCACTGGCTGGAGCTAGCAGCCCAGGCATGACACGTAGGCTACGTGGGCCGGCAGCCCGCGTTGTGGCAATGTTGTCCCGCCTGGCTTTTCTTTTTTTTCCCGTAATACCTCTGAAAACAGCAAAAAAGGCCAAAAAATATAGAAAATTGCAAAATTTGGTAGACTATTATGTGGGTTAAATCTAGAGCTTTATTGCCACCCACATCATTAAAAACTTCTTTCTCAAAGAAGTAAAAGAATACAAGACATGCTCTATAATTACAAAAGGATAAAAAAATACAAAGACTACACTCTAACACTACTAATACTCAGATCGAAGCACTAATAAAATACGCATGCACTACAAAAATATTGAACATATTAGAGTATTAGGTATTTATATAGGACACATATATTTATATATTTAAAAAAAATAAACGGGCCGTGCCGTGCCGACTCGCGTGCCCAGCTTCCAGGCCTAGGCATGGCCCATGGCGTGCCGCGTGCCGGGCCTGGCCCGTTTAGCCCGGGCCGTGCCGTGCCTGGGTCGTGCCGTGGCCGCGTGCCATCGGGTCGCCCAGTTAGCATGACTTGTTTGGCCAGCTATAGACCCGTTATATCCAGCGAACTGCGGCAAGAAATTGGGTAAATCCGGTGGCGATAGCTTCATTTCAGGTCCCCTTATATCAAACAATTATCATAGGACAGGGAGAATGGCATATGCGAACGATTTGGTGGCAGTTTTAGTTGCTAGGACATGGTGAGGGGTGTCATTTTCTTCAGGTGACATGGCAGTTTCTTTCTGAGAAAGGATTTTTGTTCAAAAGCGGTTGCCGTTTGATCTTTCATCATAACTAAAATTGCTTTTACTTTTCCGCCTTTAAAGTTTCGCAAAACTTGGGAGCCTTAGGCTGTACTTGTTTTGTTTTCTATGAGAAATGGAGTCTGGGAGTTTGCCTCGTTTTCATCTGAAAAAATGTTAGAGGAGTTTTGCTCCCCTAATGGCCAATTGTTGTTCTCTTCCATAGGATAATGCATATTCCACTCGAGCCTTTAAATATAATATCCACATGTATCTTATGCAATCAAACATTTTTGGGAGCCCGTACGTGAGAACAATATTTGAGAATATACAAATGAGAATCATTTTTTCACAAGAAAATGCAAGCATCCCCTCTTTCTTTACTCACCAAGGAAAGTACCCCTCCAATCCAAATTAATTGGTGATGCTTTAGTACTCCCTCCGTCCTGAAAAGCTTGTCTTACAAATCTAAGAAGCTTTTTGGGACGGAAGTAAACGTTGTACTAAAGCAATGTCAATTAATATGGATCGGGTGGAGTATCATTTTCATCTAAAGAAGGAACAATATCATAACATTCTTCTTTCGCGCTCAAGAGGCCACAAACCACTAACCCATTGAAGTGCATGACCGGTGCATTTTCAACACTTAAAGAAAATGTCTTCATTGCATGGACATGTTACAGTAAAGACATAATATAACCCCTAAAAAAACTAAAGACATAATAGAAAATTGTATTTTTGCATCGCAATTTCTTTGCTTTGTGTATGCGTCAAGCGTCATGGTGGTTTATACTTCATTATTTTTAATGTCATGGTGGTTTATACTTCATTATTTTTAATGTTAAAGGACGGTCTCTAATCTATGTCATTTTGTGGTTGGGTGTTATGTTTGTGTTGTTATTATGGTTTTCTTTATGTACCAATAGAAAAAGTTATGCCTGACACAATTGGGTACCCACCGTATCACATGGCGCAATACAAATCCGCAACCTTCGAGTCCAATAACACCGAACAACACAAGTTTATGCCGTGGCCCACAACGGCGCCGACGAGGACACTAACAAGGAGCTATATGCTTAGGACCAGGAT